ATAATTCCTACTCAGAATGAACACCAACATAAGCCAAAGGAAGTTCTGCCATAGCAAAGATCAGGCCATTTGGTCATGTGTTAGGACCACAGCAGACTAAGGAAATAAAAAAAAAAAAAAAATTACCCATCCCATAATCATGAAGAAGTCCTCCCAACAGGATGGTCATTTGTTGTTTCTACAGAAGAATCAGCTAAACATAGCAGTTCCAGGTTTCTAAAGCCTACTCTTGGCGCAATATAAAACTAACTACTTAAAAAGTAAATATTCCAGATATTAAAAGGCAAAGGTGAATTTCCAAGTAATTCTAAAAAAATTCTTGTACTTATGTTTCTTACACCACCTGAAGACCTACAATTTCCTTTGGAGGAGAATAAAATGAAGTAAATGGGCAAAAGGCTTAAGAAGGTAAGAGTAAACATAAACACAAACATAAACAACACATCTTTCCAAATAATATTTACATTGAGTGCTTAATTTTTATATACACTCATGTAAATACAGGAGTGTATATATTCCAAGGCCATTTCCATTTCTTGCCTCCCGGGATGTGTACAGATGCATTCTGCACCTAGGATTTGTGCTGTGCACCATAACACTCGGTACTGGTATACGGGTTAGAACCTAACAGGATGAAATATACTATAGCCGAGTGCATCCAGCTATGTGACCAGTGTAGAAAGGAGGAAAAAACCAACGAAACAAAAAGAACCCAATCCACAAACACAAAAAACCCCAGACCACTAAATACACACGCACTTCATACATACTAAGAAACGCACAAGTGCAATTTAAATGAGGTACTACTCCAGGAAGACAGACCTTGGTCTGTACTGCAGGGCATAGTGTGTTGTTAACCCAAACTCTAATTTGTTTATACGGCCGAGGCTGGCAGGACACGCACATCTTCGGAACAGAGCAAAAATCATGGAGCCGATGCGCGTTTGTGCCGAGCACCCCCATGCACATCTGCAGGCACACGCGGGAGCACGGCCACGCTACGCCCGCGGGATAACTTCACATCCACGCAGGCCGGGCCGTCAGCAGAAGACGGCGATGGAGGAGGAGGAGGAGGAGGAAGCAGCCTTCGCCGCCTCCCACAGCGCCCGCGGCCCGCGCCCACGGCCCGCCCCTCCCGCCCGGCATCCCCGCCGCGGGTGCCGCGGGGGCGGCCCTGCGGGGAGCGGGGGGACGGGGCAGCCGGGCGGCGCGGCCGGTCCCCCCGCAGCGGCGCTCGGTGCGGGAGCGGAGCCCCGGCTGCTGGCGCGGGGAGGTTTCCAGGCATCCTCGCTGCATGCGGGGAGCAGCACGGCAGTGACAAGCGGCGGCGCAGCCTGCGGGGGGGCTCCGCGGAGCGCAGCCCGGAGAAAGAGGAGGTGGAGGAAGGGGGGATGCCCGGAGGAGCCGGCGGGCTGGGGGAGGGAGCCGAGCCCTGCCCCCCTCTCCCCCAGGCACCGGGGCGGGGGAGGAAGCTGGGGCTCCCTCTCTCTCTCTCACGCCAGCCCTGTGCAGCGCCTTCAAGGCGGAGAGGGGGAGGCGGCGGGGGGAGGAAGGGGGGGAAATGCTGCAATGTAGCGCCGGGCGGGCAGGCGAGGGAAGCCGCAAACCCTCCACTGGGGCCCGGCGCAAGCCCCCGGGCCGAGCCCACCGCTCGAAGCGGCCGCACAGGCGACAGCCCCGCGTACCTGCCCGGGGCGGGGACGGCGAGCACGGACGCGACCCCAGCGGGACGACCCGGCCGAAAGGGCGGCCGGGGCGCAGCACCCACCTTTCACCACCCTGTCCGTCGTCGATAACTTGGGATCAACGGCCTTATGCTCCGACATGTCCGGCGGCCGGGGAGGCGGCGAGGCTCTCCCCCCTCGGGCAGGGCAGGCGCGGGCTGAGACGGGGGCCGCCGCTGCGGTCACGGCTCCGGCTCCTCCGCTGCGGCCGAAGTTGCCGCGTCCCGCCGCCGCTCGCTGGCTCGGCTGGGCTCTGCCGCGCGGTGCCTTCCTCCTTCGTCTTCCTCCACCCCCGTCCTCCTCTTCCTCCTCCAGTTAATTATTGCTCGCTTTCAATCACGCCTCCGGGCTGTGTAGGACGGCTCGCTCTTCCCCCCCCCGCCAAAGACCCCGGCGAAAACACCCGCGGCGGGGCGGCTGTCAGGCAGCGCCGGCAGGAAAAGCCGCGAGTGGACGCGGGCAGCAGGAACAGCCAGGTTGCACACGCAGCGGCCAGCCCTGCGCTTCCTTCCTCCGCGGCGCGCCGCTCCGGCTCCTCCCGCCGCCACCACCGCCGCCGCCGCACCGGACCGGGATGCGGATCCGTGTCTTGCCCGGCGCCCCCCGCAGGGTCTGTCCCCCGGCTCGCTCCGACACCGGCCGCGGCCCCGCGCCGCTGCCAACGCTCCGCCGCGCAGCCCCCGCGCGCCGCCCGGCCCCGCCCGCCAGGCTCCCGCTCCCGCGCGCCCCCATTGGCCGCCGCGGCGCTGCCACTCACTGTCAGCCGGCCCCGCCCCGCGCGCGCCGCACCGCCCAGGTGCGCCCGCCCGTGCCGCGCGCACCCGGCGGCGGGGCCGCGCATCCCGCGCGGAGCAGGGCTGCACGCGCGTGCCCGCGGGGGGTGGGGGGGAGCCTCTTGTCGCCCGCGGCGGCGGCGGCCGCTCCCCGGGGAACCGCGCCCGGGGCCGCGCCTGCGGGCAGGGCCCCCCCCGCCCCGCGCGGGTCCCACCTGCCCCCAGGGGTGCCCGCCCCGGGGTGGGGCGTCCCCGGAGCGCTGTCACGCAGGTACAGGCACGCGCGCAGCCAGGGCTGGCCTGCGACGGAAAGGAATCTTTCTTAGATAACATCCTTCAGCCGAGGGGTTGCTGATGTATACCCCGGGGAAGAGGCTCGGATGGAGGAAAAGCGCACCCATCTCCCCTAGCTCGGTATCTCGCCCGGCGCACCTGGCGCAGGCCAGCTCGGCGAACGGGGCAGAGGTCGGCCTTGCTGCTGGGGCCCGTCCGGCACCACCGCCTCCTTAAATTGTCCTGCAAGGGCAAACACAATGGTCAAACATGGGTGAGAAATGTTCGCCGCCCCCGGTTGGAAGACAACAAACAACTCTCCGTCTTTCTTCTTAGAGGATTGGAAAGTAATTTGCGTCTGTGACAGTGTCCCCCATGGTTCCAGACAACATAAATATTGTTTAGGGCTTGTTTATACATGTAGTTGTTCAGGAGGAGCTATTCCTGACTAATTTCATGACTAATTTCCAGAATAAGGCTAAGCTGTTCCGGTTTAGTATAACACTGTGAGTTTTAATTAAAGACGAAAATAGGGCACACCTATTCTTGAAGAGGGATGTTTACAGAATTGTTGTTGAATAACTTCTGTGTACGTGAGCCAAGAATCAACAGACACCTAAACCGGCTTCCCATTTCCCTCCAGGCTGATGTACAAGTTGCTTGCTTTGCAGATACTATTGCTTTAGAAAGCCACAAAGAAAATAAGATGGCAGTTATGACACATATTCTCTGCTTTGATTTGCCTGACATTTTTAGGGGACATTTTGTTGGCTGTCTGTGGTATTTTCACTGAACATGGGAAGACACTGTATGTGACTGATACTCAGTACAACAGCATGAGTTCTCAGTGTGTTCCAACAACCATGGTGAGCTCTGTGTGCTGTGACCATCCTCTTATCATCCCAGGGGCACAAACTAGCTGGGTAATAAAGTTGCCATCTGAGATTCCTATCTCAGTGGTAACACAAGAATATGAAACAGAGCTTGTGCTCAAGCAAGGGTATTTTATGTATGCCCAGAAAAACCCTGAAGCCCATGACAAGTATGCAGAAACCTCCCCATATGTTAGGCATACTTCATGAAGCACCAAGTGCACAGAACAATGCGGAGAGAAGAAAAACCTCCATCTTCATCCCCACTGCTGGGAAGCCCTGCTTAGCGGCACTCGATGCTTGGACACAGAAGGAGAAGCAATGTTAGGAATGCAGTATGTCCAGTATTGCTTACACCTTGTGGGCCACAGCTTCATGAGATATGGACAACCAGTTTGGATCCGTTCTTCTGTGACTGCAGGCTGTTTGTGTGAGTCATCTGGATTCGTCTTGATAGGCTGCAGTAAGAGAGACTGGGTCTCTCCAGCTTACACTTGCTCCCCCATTAGTCAGAGAACAAGACTTCAGCTTTGATTTTTTAACAAGAAAGTGTCGTCATTGTTGCTTCTTATATAAGGATATCCAGTGTCATTACTCCAGTATGTCTGTATTAATTCTGAAAGCTATATAGGACTTTTTTTTTTTAACAGTTTTCCTTTGCTTCTAGTTTTCAATTATAATATGCCATCTGGGCTAGGTAAAATTCTTTCCCTTTATCTTATGGAGGGGCTTGATTATTCATCTGTTGAATGCATTTAGTCTTCCTTTCCAAGGTAGAACCCCCGTTTCAGGTCATTTCTTCTTTAGGAGTTTTCAGATAAGCTTTCAGAAGACAAAGGTCAGTACCACTGCTAAATACCTTGTATCATGCCACTTCTTCAAGATATGACACAGCCAAGATTCAGATCCCAGTTATAAGACCTCATGACTACTCTGTCATGGTGTGGTGCAGTCTTTACCCCATGACTTGTTTCAGGAGCAAAATCCTTATCCTTGTTATGAGGAGGGGAAAGGAAGAGAGGAAGAAATCACCAAAGACTGTCTTTGTTCTCTGTTAATGGTAACACACTAGAAATATTCTGTGTTTCAGAACTCTGTTAGTAGTAACAGTAGTATAACCATTCCTTATGACTTTAATCCATCTACACAAGTGGTCCTTCATCTTTTCTCACACTCCTGTATCATAGAGGGATTTCTTTTTCATGGGATCTGAGTCCTATTAGATTCCTTTTTCTCATTTAATAGTGGGAGGAGACCATGGAGATCATATCTTTGAATGAAAAGAACCCAGTCAGTTGATTCTGCGAAAATTCTAACACACTTGACCTCTTGCATCACTAATTCCTAGTAGCATCATTAGTCATTTCATCCTCTGGTAGAATAGAAGCCCAGCATGATACATTGGAAGCTCTGATCTCCTGAAGAGCAGTCACTTCTGATTACCGATTTTGAAGACAAACTCTGTGAGAGCTGGGGGAGAAAGAATTTTTTTCTGTGAGAGCTGGGGGAGAAAGAATTTTTTTCAAGTCTGGAATAAGTCAGTACCCACCTCTTTGCCTCAGATGAGCAATTCTTTTCCATTTTAGCTGAGACATGACAATTCTTTTAAGCAGCTCTGGAAAGTAGCAGCATCCAGCTGAAGTGGAAGAAGGAATAAATGCCCATACAATGAGAAGCCAGTAATTTTAAGCCAGACATTCATAAAGACATACAGACTAATGGATTCCAAACTGCCATAAGTCCCATGAAAAATTAGCAATCAAGTTGTCTTGACTCTATTTCAACAGCAAGGTAAAGATTATTTTCTAGAAATGTAACCATGCTTTTGCACACTGACTCAACCAATTAAGATAGTGTTAAGAAAGTATTGATAGTAAGAGATAGTGTTTAAAATTTTAATCATTATTATTAGAGAAAAACTGTTATAGCTACAGGGATCTGTTCTTCATGCATTAGTTTTAGCCTCTGGAAGTTCTGGCTTCACATGTAATAAATGTAAGTTTGACAGTATCTTGGAAGTAAGGGGGAATTAGGGAGGGCTCTCGAGTACTATGATGGCTGGATGGAAAATATGTGAAGTGAGGTTAGTCTGGATAATGGTGCTGCCTTAACAGATGATTTTCCTGATTTTTCTTTTAAGAGAGCTTTGTTATTGTTTCAGTTTACTTCCCCTCAGTGTAAAAATTACTGGGGATTCTCGACATCCGTGTATCTGGGTCTATTGCCTAGGCCATATTCTCTATAACATAGTTGTCTACAAGATTAAAACCACTATGTACTAGTCTATGTTGACAGTGTGTTTTCAGGAGATGCTCCAGTGTGGAATCAATGTCCTGTTACAACTCACAGTCACAACACAGACTACAAGCACCTAAAACTTTCGAAAGAACTAGATTCGTCTACATTTGACTAAAATAAATTTGATACCAAGAGCTGTATACTAGCCTTGGAAAGCCAGTATAATTTATCAGTACTCCACATGTCATTTGGTTCCATCTTATCCAAGAGAGGAAATTCACTCCACTGTAGAGAGCCTATAGAAAGGACCATATAGCAATGTAGATCACTATCAATGGGCTCTGACTGAGGATTTTTTTGACAAATGGTTTCTCACTCTTATTCTGCCTCAGTGCACAAGAGGGAGATAGATAAAGGGTCTGGAGCAAGTAACAATTCTTTGTATTATCCATGTGTTTTCTGGCTATGTTTGCAAAGAGACATAAAGTTCAGATGGCAAAACACAGACATATAATCCGTCACTAAATGTATCCTCTCCTTTCCTCACATGTGGTCTTCATACGGGCACTTAACCTGTTGCATCATCAGCCTCTCTGGAGCTTTGCATGTTTTCCACCAGCATACATCTGTTGGGCTTTTGGTTTGGCTAATTATACAGGGTCTGGATTTGGTTCTGAAGCTTTCAGCAGAATTTATACACACTGTTAATGATACTGTACCTTGTTCAGAAAGCAAAGCAAAATAGATAATTCTACAGAGAGTCATGGAAGTGGTGATACCAAAATGAATTGTGTTGCAATAAAATGCAAGCAATAGCATCCGGAATACAGGAGATGGAAAGCAGGTTAGCTAAAATTCCGAGATGCTGAATCAACATGGAAAACAGTAACATGAAAAGTTATACAGAGCTTGACTGATATTTGAAAAGTCAACAAATAGTAGAAGAAAAGAACACAAGTGAGAGAAAATAACCTTGAGCCCTGGAAATGGTTATACCCCCTGCCAAAACTGGCCTGCTTACAACAGGTTTCAATACTAAAGAAGCATAACTGTGGTCATCTAAGGTTGCGAATGAATATTTGCATTCAGATTAAGCCTCTGGTGCAAAAGCGATCCACAAGTCATGCTTGTAATCCCTGACAGCATGCAGATTCAAGAGGAATCTTGCAAGGGACTTCCACATCTGTCCCCATTTCAATACTGCTGAGAAGCAAGCTAATCAAGTTTCTTCCACTGCAGTTTCAGATTTCTTAAGAGGCACACATACTTTCATCAGACTACTCCAGTAAGTCTAAAGGTGAAGACCAGGTTAGAATTAAGTTTGGATACAAAGAGAGTGAAGCCAGCATAAGAATAAATCAAGACACCAGAGATGGAAGGAGTCATCCCAAACTGAAAAGGATAGTCAGAAAGTCATAGAGCCAGAAGTTTGAAAACCAAAGAGTCCTTGTTATAAGTCAAGTCAGGGCTAGGACAAGGTGAGGTATAAGAGCATAACACAAAGGGAGCAGGAACCAGGAATCAAGACTAAGCAAACAAGAATGAAAGGCAAGAGAGTCAGAAGCAAAACTACAGCCAAATGGCACTGCAGACTGCCAAGAGCAACTGGTGGAGTTGCCTGACACATCTGCTATTAGAGGAAATTGGCCAAGCTTTAGCTCCTGCACAGCTGGGCCACAGTCCCAGTTGCCCTATTGCATCCAGCTGCAGGGCCAGTAGCCCAGGCAGAGCCCAACAGTGTGGTTAAATGTGCATCGACTTAAAACTTGATCTGCAGGAATAGCTTGTCTCTATAAAATTTTCTGGTGCTAGCAACAAGTTTAACTCAACTTAAGTATCCAGTAGAACACTGCACTGATTTGCCTAAGTGTGTCTAAAATTATTGCTTTAATTAAGCACTGCAAGTTTGTGCAGCGAAAATGCCTTACTATAGAAGAAATAGATGTATCTGAAGGCAGGCAACAGTGCCAAGATTCCCAGAAGTGGAAAGACATCCCCTCATCTCCCCCTACTGGTGTGCACGTCCCCGCGCCTCTGTGGAGTGACGAGGAGCAGCTACCTCCTCTGCTCTGCCTATGCCAGTATTTCGTGAAACTGAAAGAATCACAGAATATGCTGTGTTGGAAGGGACCCACAAGGATTGTCGAGTTCAACCCTTAGCCCTGCACAGGACCCTTGGGAGCAGCTTCCAGCACAGAACTGTTCTCAAGATGCTGGCAACAACTTAAAACCACAGTCCTCCTATCAAGAATTAGTCATTTGCTCCCAGAGAGTTCATTCTGCAGACTTTGGTTGTTAATTAGATGTTGCTTATAGTGGGAGACTACAGAATACGGATTTTGCAAAGGGCTTTAAGATGTTATCCCAGTGAATATTAAAATCTTCTAGAAAATATAAATTAAAAAAGGAATAGAAAGAAAGCTCACTGTTTTTAAAGATGTTTGTGCAGTACATCATGACAAACATCAATCATGACAGACGAATGCCTGTTGAGAGAAAGGAACAATATTTGAGAGAAATGGGAACAGCAAAATAACAAGATACATGTTCATTTTGTATTATAAGTATCTAATATATAGCTAATTTAACTCTGGTGTGTTATGAAAAGCTACTAGTGGCAGAAGCAGCTGAAGAGATCCTGAAGACATGATAGTCAGTATGTTTAATACCCAGGATGCTTTTCTGCCTCCTTTTTCGGGAGCAATGCTGTTGACAGAGACACAAGAACAAAGAGGAATGTGTGTAATTGCTTTTGCAAGAGTAAGTCTTATTTGTTTTCATAAAGATAACATGATTTATTATTTATTTTTGCTGCCTTTATGGTCAGAAAACAGTATAGATTAAATCCCTGCCACTTTAAAAGTAACATGCATGGAACACATCCTGGAGTAAATGATTTATTCGAGTGCCATCAATGCCAGCTGAGGGCTCAGTGGTAACAGACCATAACTGGTGCTAAGAGTGAGATAATTAATCACAATAAGTTGATATTCAAGGAACAAACACTGAAAACTTTAATTTAGTTGCCAAAACCTCTCAAAATATAAAGTGTCTTGTGATGTATTATTTAAAGAAGCATAGTGAATATGAAAAGAAACAATGGAAAGAAAGTGTTTTCCATACTGACCTCCTGTGCTATGTCTTTTCCTAGGAACTTTGGAATGGAAAAAAAGGACGGAACAACACGATCTCTGAATGTATGTTTGTAAAAATCTCAAATATTTACAAAGCAAAACACTGAAACCTGGATATTAACATACAGTTTAAGGAGCTCTAATGAATACAATTGGAATATTGAATTAGATGTAAATAACTTATTCAAGTTAGCTTAGTGGTAACATTACGAAATATAAAAATCTTCAATTAATTTTCAGTCAGACTGACCATAATTTATACATTGGAAATCCAGATTCTCACTTACCCCAAAGCTTTAAACTGCTGTAAGATGCAAAGCTGCTTTATAAGGGTTATAAGTTACACTTACATTCACTTAAAATACATTTTATATTCCCAGGGGGATGTAGAGCAGCCCTAATGTAAGGGAGAACCAGGTTTCTAATTGACTACAAGCATTCTCAACCAAGGATGCAAATTCAGTGCCGTCTTAACCAACTGCTGCAAAGGGACTCTGTCACTGTAGCAGTGCCCTACTAGTCAGTCTCACAAGGCTTGCCTGCAGGGCAGCTTGCAAGATTAGGTATTAATATCCTTAAAAAACCAACAGAATTATCAACAACCAAACTTTCCTCTCCTCCCCCATGCACCTATGTCATGCAAAAACATCAGTCTCAGGCATGCACATAACATCCTTTCAATCATATTTTAATCAAATTGCTTTTCATCAGCTCCTCAAATTTTATGTAAGAAGCACATGATCTACTTTAATCTTTCCTCCTCCTCCCTCACTTCTCAAAAGAAAGTTTCAGTGCTTACTCAAAAAATGGCATTCAGCACAGCAACAGACACATAAATCTTCTGAATTGCTAAAAAACTGCTACCCAGAGACTGGTATGGCTCTAGATTATGACAATCGAGTGCACGGGACTGGAGAACACAGTTAAAAACACTCGGATAATAAATTTTCCTTTTAAAGGATCCTTAGCAGCAAAGATGCAAGGGTTATTGATGAGTTAGAAATGGTGGGAGTGCCTGAGAACGGTCATGTAGGAATTAAGGTATCACCCCTCAAAAAGGTGATGGGATCAATAGCCCATCTGAAGTGCATCTACACCAATGCACACGACACAGGCAACTAACAGGAGGTGGAAGCTGTGGTGAATCTATGACATAGTTGCCATCATGGCAACAGGGTGGGATGATTTTCACCACTGGAGTGTTGCAATGGATGCCTGTAAACTCTTCAGAAGGGATAGGCAAGACGGAGAGGTGGTGGGGTAGCCCTATATGTTAGGGAGTGGTTTGATTGCCTAGAGCTTAATGATAGAGACATTAGGGCTGAGTGTTTATGGGCAAGTATCAGGGGAAAGCCAACAAGGCAGGTATCATGGTGCGAGTCACCCAACCAGGATGAAGTGGCAGATGAAATATTCCATAAGCAGCTGGGTGAAGTCTGCTAATCACTAGCCCTTGTTCTCATAGAGGACTTCAGTTTACCGGATGTCTGATGGAAATACAACACTGCAGAGGGGAATCAGTCTAACAGGGTTCTGGAGCTTATGGAGGGCAACTTCCTGACACAGTGAGCACGCTTGTTCCCCCTGGTGAGGGAACACACTAGGGAAGGTGTCCCACTGGACCTGCTGGTTTTGAATAGAGAAGGACTGATGGGTGATGTGATGGTTGGAGGCCACCTTGGGCAGAGCTATCATGAAATGATTGAGATTTTGATTCTCAGAGAAGTAAGGAGGGGAGTCAGTAGAACTGCTTCCTTGAACTTCCCAGGGCATACTTCGGCCTGTTTAGGATCCTGTCTGACCCTTGGGAGGTAGTCATGAGGTACTTAATGCCTTCTCTGCCACAGTCTTTAATAGTAAGACCAGTTGTTTTGTGGGTACCCAGCCCTGAGCTGGAAGATAGGAAAAGGGAGCAGAATGAAGGCCTAATAATCCAATGGGAAATGGTCAGTGACCAGCTACACCACTTAGACATGCACAAGTCTGTGGGGCCAGATGGAATCCACCCAACAGTACTCAGGGAGCTGGGGGAAGAGCTCGTGGAGCCACTTTCAATCATTTACCAGCTGTCCTGGTTAACTGGGGAGGTCCTAGCTGACTTTAAGTTATCATATGTGATGCCCATCTACAAGAAGGGTCAGAAGGAGGATACAGGGAACTACAGGTCTGTCAGCCTGACTTCAGTGCTGGGGAAGGTCATGAAGCAGATCATCCTGAGTGCCATCACACAGCATATACAGCACAACCAGGGGACAACCAGAAGATTAGGCTCAGTCAACAGGGGTTCGTGAAAGGTTAGTCCCGCTTGAGCAACCTGATCTCCTTCTATGACAAGGTGACCCACTTAGTGAATGAGAGAAAGGCTGTGGATGTTGTCTACCCAGACTTTAGCAAAGCCTTTGACTATCTCCCACTGCATTCTCCTGGAGAAGCTGGCAGCCCATGGCTTGGACAGGTGTACTCTGTGCTGGGTAGAAAATTGGCTGGATGGCTGGGACCAGAGAATGGTGGTGAATGGAATTAAATTGAATTGGCAGCCAGTCACAAGTGGTGTTCCCCAGGTCTCTATATTTGGGCCAGTCTTGTTTAATACCTTTATCAATTATCTGAACAGGGGGATCGAGTGCCCCTTCAAGTCTGTTTGCAGATGACCCCAAGTTGGGTGGGACTGTAGGATGGTAGGAAGGCTCTACAGAGGGATCTGCACAGGTTGGATCGATGGTCTGAAGCCAGTTGTATGAGGTTCAACAAGGTGAAGTGCTGGGTCCTGCTCTTGGGTCACAACCACCCCATGCAGAGCTACAGGCTGGGAGCAGAATGGCTGGAAAGCAGCCCATCAGAAAAGGACCTGGGGTACTGGTCGCCAGCAGCTGAACATGAGCCAGCAGTGTGCCCAGGTGGCCAAGAAGGCCAATGGCATCATGGCTTGTATCAGGAACAGTGCAGCCAGCAGGACCAGGGCAGTGATCGTCCCCGTGTACTCAGCACTGGTGAGGCCTCAAGTACTGTGTCCATTTCTTGGCCCCTACTACAAGAAAGACATTGAGGTGCTGGAGCCTGTCCAGAGAAGGGCAATGGAGCTGGTAAAGGGTCTGGAGATTAAGTCCTATGAGGAGCATCTGAGGGAGCTGGGGTTGTTTAGTCTGAAGGAAAGGAGACTCGTCACTCTCTACAGCTACCTGAAAGGAGGTTGTAGCCAGGTGGGGTCAACAAGTGACAGGACAAGAGGAAATGGCCTCAAATATCAACAGGGCAGGTTTAAATTGGATCTTAGGAAAAATTTCTTCACTGAAAGGGTTGTCAAGCATTGGAACAGTCTGCCCAAGGAAGTGATTGAATCACCATCCCTGGAGGTATTTAGAAGATGTGTAGATGTGAGACATGGTTTAGTGGTGGGCTTAGTGGTGCTGAGTTAACAGTTGGACTAGATGATCTTTCTACAACCTAAATGATTCTATGATTCTTATTAGTACAGGACACATCCATTCTATAAATAGATGTGCTCTACAGAATGGACAATTTTGTCATCTTGACTTTATGGTTTGTGAAAATAATTTAAACTATAAAAAAGGAGCAGACATTAACATTATTCGAAACTATGAAGATGTTGCTTATTGAGTGTAAGTAAACATTTTGCAGTTACTCTTGCTTTTGTAGTTTGCCAATAAGCCCAGGGCTTGTGTTTGTTTCTTTATATGACACTGCTTTCTGCCTAAGAAGGAAATATTTCTCTAACTCTCCTAGAGTTCACAGCTATCCCAAGAGTAATGACTTCTTGCTGGTTGTCTTCCAAAGGATGTTGTCAGCCCCTCAGTAGTTCATTTCGGGTGAAAATAGCCCTCGTGCCAAGGCCAGGCCAAGATCATATACCAAATAAGTCCCATTAAAATCTTCAGATAAGGCATAAATGACATTTAAGTACTACAGTGCTGGCCTTTTGCTCAGTAGTGAATTAATCTAATATCTGCAAAAATACATTTGCTGTGAGTTAAAAATTAACAAGTGCTTATCCTGACCTCGGAGTGGGATTGGTGAGACTCCCAAAACTGAGTAGCCCAGGATACGCATGCTCTGCCAGATTCTCAGGAGTTTTGAACTTAAATATATCTGCTGGCAGAAGGCTGATGACAACTATACCAGTGGAGGATCTGGATGCCATTACAATACATCAGTCCCTGGATACTTGAAGGCTGGGAGCAGCCCTGACACTGTGACTGGTGCCAAACACAAAAGTCACAGAGAGTGCTAGCATGTGCTTGTGTCATGTTCCCCCCAGCTGGGATAAGAGTGTCACGTCATTTCATCTATGTATCCACCTATTTTAGCAATGAAGCTTACATGAAGAGAAAGGGGCAGGAGATAAGATAGAGGAAAGTGATTGCTGCTATGCAGATATATAATTAAGCGTGGTCTAGCAGATGGGAGATGACCTGATCTCCATCACTTCACTAAAATGCTTTCCTTTTGCCTCTGTCCTGTCCAGACTTCACTTGAGCTGTCACTTTTTATTCTTACTCCAATTTCTTTTAGCCGTGAGGTCAGTTGGGAAAAAAAAGTGTTTTTCACTGGAAAGAAACAGGACAAATGGATGCTTCCAATACCATATAATTAGGGTGCAAAACATGGCGACAGATAAAATATAGATGCGTGTAAAATACGGGAACCAGACCTTCTGCCTTACTAATGCAATTATTCATATGCATGGCAACACAAATATACTGTGGAAGAGAATCTGTGTCAGTGGTAATGTTTGTTCAGATACTCACTTGCATATTCATGGGCTCAGATGGAGAATATGCAGTGGGGAATGATTGGTTCACCTCATTCCATTTCCGTGTCCTCAAAATTTTCCTCCTTTGTTTTCCCTTCCTCTTTTATCTCTTTTTAGTTTGGATTTTTTTTCCTCCTCTTCTCTCATTTCAGAAGTACCAGAACAATATTTCAGGAAAGGATGTAGATTGCACCTTGGAGTACCATACACATTCTCTTTCTCCTAGAAGAACCTTTGTAATATCCAGTTAGAACTACTGTTCCGACCTTCCCTGCACTCCTCCCTCCCTTCTTCTTTTTCCCCTCATCTTCTTAACTCTATTGTAGACCATGGTGGGCAGTGTTAGGGAGGGTTGGATAAGACTCTGCTATGAGTGATTCTTTCCCAGAAGGGAACCATTTCACACCATTCCCAGCATATCCTCTCACAGTGCCCAGAAGCACTTTTCAAAGTATTCTGGAGATTTTAAACTGTATTATTTTAAGTGGTCACCAATTTCTCCCCATCAGCATGTGTACTTTGAATGACTTCAAGCTTTCTTTGGATACTGCCTTTGAACTATCTACCTAAATAAATTAGGGTAAACTCTAACTATGTCACTCACAAACAGAGATGAGCTTAGCAAGTATCTTTTTTTCCTATTAAAAAAAGTAAGTTACTAATACTACTCTAAATATATAGTCACTGCCAACAGTAACACACATAGCAGCCAGCTTCCATCTGCATTGAGATTTCCCAGACAAGCTGTACAATATCACTTCAGAAACTGCTAAACCTTGGCAATTATCAAAAGATTGTTGGGGAGACACTGCAGAGACAACGGATAAAGTTAATCAGGGAGGCCAATGAAATAAGTGTTAGCACAACACTGAGGAAGAAGAAACTGCTGACATACTAGGGACAGTCACTAGCCTTTTACTCTGAAGTTCTGAATATTTTGCATATCTTTCATTTGTAATACTCATATTCTATGAAGACCATATAGCAAAACTTGTATGAAGTAATGCTAAAAGAATTACACTGACTTTCTCCTAAGGGTATGCTGATTTTCCAAATGAGGTAGAAAGAGCAGAGAAGGAATACTAACACCCTTCTGTCCATCCTATTCACCAATTGCAGAGAATCCTTTCCTTTCCTTGTGCAGACAAGCTATATAGGCAATCAACAACAAGAAGTTTCACATTTCACATTCAAAGATCCAGAGCTTGGAAGCTGAACTCAGCAAAATTCAAACTGAAAACAAGACACACATTTTTAACACTCTGAATAATTAACCACTGTTATTGCTTGCCCTGGAATATGCTTTGACACTTGAAGCTTTTAAATCCAGTCAGAGTGTCTACAAAAAGATGCTGTCTGCTTCTGTTGCAAGATACTGAACTCAGTGTAGAACCCATTGGCCCTGCAGAGAGTTAGACTAGATGGTC